TTCTGTGAGACAGGGAAATGTGTCAAAACCACTTCACAGGTGGGACGAGTAGAGAGAGTTGCTGTGCCTGGCAGAGGCCCTCTGCTCAGCCAGTGTGGGCTCAGCCCTGCCATTCACTGGGGCATCCCTTAATAGTCACTGGGCTCTGTCTTGGCAAGAGGACTCTTGGGGAAGCTCAGGCTGCCCAGGCCAGCAGACCTACGTCTACTCTTCTTTCCATGCTCTGGGTCACCTGGAACAAGTTCCTCCACCTCTCTGAGCCTCAGTTCCCTCCACTTGAGTTGGGAATAATGCACCCACTTTGTGGGTTCAGTGAGGACTAGATGGAGAGGCCTTAGAGCAATGTTCAGCACACAGTAGGGCACCTCATAAATAGGAGCTTTTACTGTGGCCACCTTGTAAAATGTCCAGGTCACGGTTTTCAAAACCTTTTAAGATTGCATTGTCTGTCATCTTGAAGCAGACTTTGTGACCTCCATTTACAAAGGTGGAAGCTGGAGCCCAGAGAGATACAGGGGCTTGTCCAAGGACACACAACTGGCCCATGGCAGAAAAGGGACACAACCTCTCCTTAGATACTGGACTCCCCACAACTACACCCCTCACCCAGTGTTGAGCTGGTCCCAGGAGACTGCTGTGGAAAGCAGGAAGAGGGGGTTAAAAGCCATCCCTGCTGCTTCACTGGTTCCGGGCCGGGGTTCTTAACCCTTCTATCCTGAGGACTCCATGAGCCCATAGGATGGTGAAGCCTCCGAATTTCTGCTCAGAATAATGCTCTCACATGAATGAATTAACATAGGGTTAAAAAGGAAGACAAGTGTATGTAAGCACAGTTCCTAAAATATTTTTAATGCAATAGTAATTTGCATGTTTCTGTATTAATACATTAAATAAGATCTAGTGGCAGTTCTAATATTTACTATTTATTTTTTTCATTCTCCTCCCCCTTATTGAAGTATGATTGGCAAATAAAATTACATACAATTAGGGTAGACAATGTGATATTTCAATATATGTGTGCATCCTGAAATAATTACCACTATCAGTTAATTAACATATCCACCACCTTACATAGTTACCATTTTTTGTATGTTGGGAACACTTTAGGGCTACTCTCGTAGCAAATTTCAAGTACATACTACAGTATTATTAATTATAGTCACCATGGTGTACTTTAGATTTCCCAAATTTGTTCATCTTAAAACTGGAAGTTTGTGCCTTTTGAACAATGTCTCCCATTTCTCTACCTCCCAGTCCCTGGTAACCATTTTACTCTCTGCTTCTAAGTTTAAGTTTTGGATTCTCATATAGTGAGATCATGCAGTATTTGTCTTTCCATGTCTGGCTTATTTCATTTAGCATAATGTCCTCCAGATTCTCCATGTTGACACAAATATCAGGATTTCCTTTTTTAAGGTTGAATAATATTCCACTGTATAGAGAACCACATCTTCATCCATTTATCCATCAGTGGACACTCAGGATACTTCCATATCTTGTCTACTGTGGATAAAGCTGCAGTGAACATAGGTGCAGCTATCTCTTTGAACTTGAGATTGTATTTCCTTGGATCAATACCCAGAAGAAGGATCATATGGTAATTCTATTCTTAATATTTTGAGGAGCTTTTTTCCATAATGACTGTACCAATTTATATTCCTACCAGCAGTGTACAAGGGTTCCCTTTTCTCTATCTCCACCAACATTTATTATCTTTTGACTTTTTGATAATAGCCATCCTAACAGGTGTGAGGGAGTAGCTCATTGTGGTTTTCATTTACATTTCCCTAATGATTAGTGATGATGAGCATCTTTTCATATAATTATTGATTGTATGGTTTCTTTGGAAAAATATCTATTCAGGCTCTTTGCCCATTTTTTAATTGGATTATTTGAGGTTTTTTTTAACTATTGAGTTGTATGAGTTCCTTATATACTGTGATAATTAACTTCTTATTGGATATATGGTTTACAAATATTTTCTCCAATGCTGTAGATTGCCTTTGAATTTTATTGATTGTTTCCTTTGCTGTGCAAAAACTTCTTAGTTTGATGTAGTTCCACTTGTTTATTTTAATTTTTACTGCCTGTGCTTTTGGTGTCAAATCCAAAAACTCCCTGCCAAGACCAATGTTAGGGAGCTTTTTTCCATGTTTTCTTCTAGGAATTACATGGTTTCAGGTCATACTTCCTTTTTGAGTGAGTCTTTAGCCATTTTGAATTTATCTGTGTGTGTGCTGTAAAATAAGGGTCCAATATCATTTTTTTGCATGAGGATGTCCAGTTTTCCCAGTACCATTTATTGAAGATACTGTCATTTTCCCATTGTATATTTTTGGCATCTGTGTCAAAGATTGGTTGATTACATATGTGTGGGTTTATGTCTGGGCTCTCTATTGTGTTCCACTAATCCTTATGGAACACAGTACCATATTGTTTTTGATTAGTATAGTTTTGTAATATAACTGAAATCAGGAAGTATGATGTCTCCAGCTTTGTTTTTCTTGCTCAAGATTGCTTTAGCTACTTGGGGTCTTTTGTGTTTCCATGTAAATCTTAGGATTGTTTATTCTATATCTGTGAAAAATGCCATTGGAATTTTGATAGACATTGCTTTGAATCTGTAGATTGTTCATTTTAACAACATTAATTCTTCTGTCAGTTTCTTTCATCAATGTTTTTTAATTTTCCATGTGCAGATCTTTTACCTCTTTGGTTAAATTTATTCCTAAGTATTTTATTCTTTTTGATGGTATTGTAAATAGGTAAATAGGATTTTTTTGTAATTTCCTTTTTATTCATTGTTAATTTATACAAACATAACTGATTTTTGTATCCTGCAATTTTACTAAATTAGTTTCTTAGGTTTAACAGGTTGTTTTTTTTTTGGTGGAGTCTTTGGAGTTTTCTATATATAAGATCATGTCACCTGCAAACAGATAATTTTCATTCTTCTTTTCCAATTTGGATGTCTTTTATTTCTTTTTCTTGCCTGATTGCACTCACTAGGATTTCCAGCACTATATTGTATAGAAGAGGCGAGGGTGGGCTTTCTTGTCTTGTTTCTGTTCTTAAAGGAAGAACTTTCAGCTTCTCACCATTGAGTATAGAGTTAGCTGTGGGCTTGTCATATGTGGTCTGGATTATGTTGAGGTACATTCCTTCTATACCTAATTTGTTGAGAGTTTTTATTGTGAAAGTATGTTTAATTTTGTCAAATGCCTTTTCTGGATTGAGATGATCATATAATTTTATCCCTTATTTTGTAATGTGGTATATTATGTATTAGTTTGCATATGTTGAACCAGCCTTCATCCCAGGGGTAAATGCCACTAGATCATGGTGTAGGATCCTTTGAACATGCTGTTGAATTTAGTTTGCTGGTATTTTGTTGAGGATTTTGGCATCTATATTCATTAGGAATATCAACCTATAATTTCTTTTTCTGGTCATGTCTTCATCTGGCTTTGGTATCAGGGTAATGCTGGCCTATAAAATGAACTGGGAAATCTTCCCTCCTCTTCAATTTTTTGAAAATGTTGGTAGAATGCTTAATTGTTCTTGAAATGTTTGGTAGAACTCACCAGTGAAGCTATCCAGTCGTGGGATTTTCTTTACTGGGAGACTTTTTTATTACTGATTCAATTCCCTTATTCATTATTGGCCTGTCAGATTTTCTATTTCTTCATGATTCAGTCTTTATAGATTTTATGTTTTTAGGAATTTATCCATTTCTTCTGGGTTGTCCAACTTGTCATATAATTGTTCATAATAGTCTCTTAGGATCTTTTGTGTTTCTGGAGTATCAGTTGTAATGTCTCTTTCATTTTTTATTTTATTTATTTGAGTCTTTTTCTTTTCTTAGTCTAGCTTGTCAGTTAGTTTATTCTTTTAAAAAACAGATCCTAATTTTTTTTTCTTAATCTGATTTTTTTCTTTGGTTTTCCTAGCCTCTTTTTCATTTATTTGCACTCTGATCTTTGTTGTTTACATCCCTCTACTAACTTTAGACTTCATTTGTTCTTTTTCGAGTTCCTTGAAAAGTGTAATGTTAGGTTGTTTGAGATCTCTCTTTTTTCTTAATGTAGGCATTAAGCTATATATGTCCCTCTTATAGCTGCTCTTGCTGCATCCCACAAGTTTTAATATATTGCATTTTCATTTTCATTTGTCTCAAGATATTCTTTGATTACCCTTTTGATTTCTTCTTTGGCTCACTGGTTGTTTAGGAATGTGTCGTTGAATTCCACATAATTGTGAATTTTCTAGTTTTCCTCCTGTTATTAATTTCTAGTTTCATACCATTGTGATTGGAAAAGATACTTGATATGATTTCAATCATAAATTTGTTAAGACTTGTTTTATGACCAAATATCTGTTCTTGAGGAGTTTCTGTATATGTGAGGAGAATGTGTATTCTGCTGCTGTCAGATAGAATGTCTGTATACTCTGTTAGGTCCATTTAATCTAAAGTATAGTTCAAATCCAATGTTTATATACTTATTTTCTGTCTGTATGATCTATCCATTGTTGACAGTGAAGTCTCTTGTTCTTATTGTATTGCTGTCTTTTTCCCCCTTCACATCTATTAATATTTGCTTTTTAAATCTAGGTGGTCCTATCTACCATAATTTTAAAGTAGTTTAAGTAGTACTTAGGGAACTCATTTATAATTAAATTTATGATATGACATTGGTCAGTATTGGTAACAAACTCACAACTGCTAACACTACTGTGGTTTGTTACTTACATTCATATTTGAAGGAAATAACAAATTTCAGTTAGAAGCTGGTTACAATTAAAACAAAATTTTTCCCATCCAAGTTTACTATAAACTCCTGGCCCAAGTCATGGGCCCTTCTTCCATGTTAACTTGTATCTCAGGTTCAGTAAAGGAGATGCCAGGGCACCCACCCAATCTCAAGGTCCCATTCACTGTCATGTCCCACTCAAATCCCACCCTCAGAGAATAGTATTTCAGTGTTCATTCTTTCATTCAGCAAACATTAAACACCAACTGTGACAAATGGTGAGATCCAAAGTCAAATAAGATGAAGTTCCTACTTCAAGCTGCTCATCATCTACTTAAGAAAGAGCATCCAAAATGCAGAATGTAAGCAAGCACAGGAATACGTCTACCTTCCTGATAAATAACACCCAGTGAAGGTGAGGTCGGGGTCACTTCTGGGCAGTAACACTGTTATCACATAATCCTTTTGAAAAGAAGTATGGCATTGCATAGCATTGATCGTGAAAATGCCATACTCCTCTTTCTCAGCATTCTCACTCTTGTGAATTTGTCCCGAAGAAATAATTCAGGGCAAAGGACAAAGAGCGGAGGCCAGGGCAAAGGACAAAGAGGAGGCCACTCCTCTTCCTGAATGGTTGTCCTCCTTGGGAAGGGGCTAGGTCTCACTCAGTTTGTCCCCCATCTAGAACACGGTAATGCTCATGAAGGCCTGCTGAATGAATGCAGTTACAATAGACAAGAAAGGGAGGTGGCAGGAGGGGTATTCCAGGAGCCCTCCACTAACCAAGCTCCTGTTTTCTCTTCCAGCCACTGAAATACTCAGAAAGATGGACAAACCACTGATCAGCCGTCGCCTAGTAGACAGTAATGGCAGCCTTGCTGAGGCTCCCAGTGGGGCCCCCAATGTGGGCATCCTGGGCAGTGGGGACTTTGCACGTTCCCTGGCCACACGCCTGGTGGGCTCTGGCTTCAGTGTTGCAGTGGGGAGCCGCAACCCCAAACGCATAGCTGGGCTATTCCCCTCAGCCACACAAGTAACTTCCCAGGCAGAGGCAGTGGTCTTCCCTGAGGTCATCTTTGTGGCCATGTTCCGGGAGCACTACTCTTCACTATGTGGACTCAGCGACCAGCTAGCCAGCAAGATCCTAGTGGATGTGAGCAACCCCACAGAGCAGGAGCACCTTCAGTACCGTGAGTCCAATGCTGAGTACCTGGCCTCCCTCTTCCCCACTTGCACAGTGGTCAAGGCCTTCAATGTCATCTCTGCCTGGACCCTGCAGGCTGGGCCAAGGGATGGGAACAGGCAGGTAGGTGCTGGGGGGCTACCAACCACCATAATAATAAATATAAATGACTAAGTTCCACTGAGGACCCTCAGTGTGCAAGGCTCTTATGTGTATATTATCTCAACTTATCTCACATCACTTCAAAGTTCCATTTTTCAGAGCAAGAAACTGAGGTTCAGAGACCTTAATGCACTTACACCAAGTCCTACATCTGATGAGCTGGGATTTGCATCCAGTTCATATGAATCTGAAATCCATGTTCTTTCATTTATGGTAACTTGATTTCCTGGGGAGCAAAGAGGAAATTTGGGATATTTATTATTGGGATACAAAAAGGAGACAAGACATTGCTTTAGAACTAGAATTAGAAAGAAGAAAGTAACACACTTATGTTCTAGGTCCTAAGGAAGCAGGCTTGTCCCAACCTTTATCTCCTTTATCCCAAAGGCTTCCAGGAACTAAGCTGATTTCTCAGAATAGCCAGCAGCAGGTTTTTGTAGGAGTGAAAAATGGCTCCAGGGCACAGCCAGAGCTGCGTGACAGTTCTTGGCAGAAGGAGCTCTTCCCAAGACAAGGTGATTTTTAATGCCAAGAGGCCACCTGTTTTCCTGGAGGAAGAATACCAGGCTCCCCATGTGCATAAAAACTTTGACTAATGAGTCCATCCCAGATGCCTCCTCTGCCCAGCTCCATGCCAGACTGTGCCCGGCCCCAGCTGATTGGGAGGCCCTGTGTTCAGCCTTCATCATGGAACCCCCATGTGTGAAGAGGCAAGAAGAGTAGTTGAGTGTTGGGCAGCAGGGCCTGGAGGGAACAGAGCAGTAGCAGTTAAGGAAAACTTTCTTGGCCTGATGCTACCACATGTTGTCAGGCACAGGGGCAGGGAGGCATTCCAGGTGGATGGGACAAAGGCACAGTGGTGAGAAATGATGCTCCTGGACCTGTTTCCTCACCTGAAAAATGGGGACCATGGTACAGACCTGCAGGTTATGGCGAGGCTGAGGGGTCACATGTGTAAAGCCTGGCACATAGCAGGTGCAGAGTCAGTGCTGGGAGACCGGACTGATCAGAGCAGTGTCATCAAGGCCCATGGAGCGTTCAGGGGTCTGAGGACACCAGTGTCCTGCATGGGAACTTCCTGGGGCATTGAGCTCTGAGGCTAGGCCTGGCTTGAGGAGGCCTAGTGTTTGCCCAAGGGCCATAGGGGACAGGGGGACATTGTCAAAGGGGATACTTCTGGACTGACGGGTGGGGCTGCCACCACAGCGGTATGTTCTGGGCCATATGCAGAGCCTAACTGCTTAGCAACTTCCAGGGCTGGCCACAGTCCTCAGTGTACCTATTCCAAGTCCTCCGGTGGTGCCTAGAGGTGCGTTTTGCTTACGGATGCTGATGCCTATGAACTGTCAAAATGCTCACTATTAGGTAAGTCCAGGTGCCCTTCTTGAGTAATGGGCAGCTGGGTCACAGACTGGGAAGCCACAGGGGGTGGAGGAAAGACCCCTGGTCTGGGAATCAGTCCCCTTCTGCTTCCACTGTGCCCTTCCATGGCAGCTCACTGGGCTGCTGCTCAGTGAGGAGTTTGGCCAGCTGCTCTCTGAGGCCCCACCTGCCCCTACGGCCTGTGACCCCATTTGGATCCCCCTTTGCTCCTCCCCACAGGTGCCCATCTGCAGTGACCAGCCAGAAGCCAAGCGCACTGTCTCAGAGATGGCACGCACCATGGGCTTCACGCCTGTGGACATGGGATCCCTGGCCTCAGCCCGGGAGGTGGAGGCCATGCCCCTGCGCCTCCTCCCGGGGTGGAAGGTGCCGGCCCTACTGGCCTTGGGGCTCTTCATCTTCTTCTATGCCTACAACTTCATCCGGGATGTGCTGCAACCCTACATGCAGGAGGGCAAGAACAAGTTCTACAAGCTGCCTCTGTCCGTGGTCAACACAACGCTGCCGTGCGTGGCCTACGTCCTGCTGTCACTGGTGTACCTGCCTGGCGTGCTAGCAGCTGCCCTGCAGCTGCACCGCGGCACCAAGTACCGACGCTTCCCCGACTGGCTGGACCACTGGCTGCAGCACCGCAAGCAGATAGGCCTGCTCAGCTGTTTCTGTGCCGCCCTGCACGCGCTCTACAGCTTAGGCCTGCCGCTGCGCTGCTCCCACCGCTATGAACTGGTCAACCTCGCCATCAAACAGGTACAGCGCCCAAGTACGGGAGCGGCAGTGACTGGGGAGCAGCCTGCCAACTGCTATCTGCTGATTCTGATAGTGCCCACACCCTGCTATCCAAGATTTTGTGTATCGGTGAACAAAACATGAAATTGCTATGCCCATAGGTGCAGCCAGGAGGGGAGACAGACAAATCCAGCTGTGAGTTACAGGGTATTTAGAAGGTGGTGAGTGCTAAGGACAATCAAGCAGGGGAGAGCAGTGGGGTGCAGTTATAGAGGGATGAGGGGAGGTCCTGCTGAGTGGATGACAGGTAAGCGAAGGTGGCAAGGAGGGGACTGAGCCAGCAACAGCCCAGGGAGGAGGGAGAGCCCTCGGTGGGAGCTGGCTGGCACACTGAGGAGTGATCAGGGGACCCTGTGGGGGGCCCAGTGGGAGGGCGATAGGGGAGGCCTGAGAGGTGAAGCCAGACCAGGGAGGCCTTGGACCCTCAGGAGCCAGTAAAGGGGTGGTGATCTGCCTGATGTTTTAACTGGCTCTTCCTGGCTGCTGAGCAGAGAACAGACATTAGGATGTTGCAGGGCAGATGTGGGAGACTGGTAGGAGGCTGTGAAGGAACCTAGATGAGAGGCCAGGGAGTGGGCAAGAAGGTATTAAAGGCATATTTTTGAAGCAAGAGGGCACAGCATTGCAGAAAAATCCACAGGGTATGCGGGTGGTCAAGGATTACTCCAGGTTTTTGACCTGAGCACCCAAGGGGTGGAGGTGCCATCAGTTAAGATAGGGAAGGCTGCAGGGGCTTTTGGGGTGGTGGTGGTGGTAATTGTTCATTTAGGAAACCCGTATTGTGCTCTTTTGCCAGCAGAATTCCTGGGAAATGGGGGCCTTCAGGGCAAGCCAGGTAGCAACCCAGGCACCATCAGCTGGCATGTACACCCATAGAAATGGCCCCCTGATGCTCCCTCCTAGTTCACAAGTTCACAGGGCCTGATTCTGTGTCCAAGCTCACATCTGTAAGCAACACTGCCTTTCTTTATTTTCTGCAACCTGCTTAATTCCCCCTCCAGCCCCCAGCCCCTAGCACGGCACAGGGTCCCGCCCACCCAGGATACTAGTTACCCAATAGAGTTTGGCCTAGGTACCAGTGAGGCACTTCTCATCCACTGCCCTCATCCAGCCCAGGTAGGCCCTGCAGTTTCTGTTCTTGTTGGGAAGCTGGCATCTTACTGAGGCAGGGCCCTCCCCAGGCACACCCACCATCCAGCCATCCTCTCAGAGGCCAAGCTGCCTTCCAGAGCAGGACTGGCCAGCAAAGGTGGGCTGCTTCCTGGAAACCACAGACCTAATCCCCTACTCACTCCTGGGCCCGCTCCCTCTGGCAGCTTCTCTAATGCTCTTGTCCTTCCGCACCCAACGACTCCTAGCATCAGCGCCCCTGTGGGCTTAAGCTCCTAAGAGAAGGGAAGAATCCTAGTACTAGGCAGGACATCCTGCTTTCTGCAGGAAAAACAAGTCCAAGTTAACATTTGAGTAAATGACCCCAGAACTCGGGCCATTCACTCACTCATTCACTGAGCATCCACTCTACCAGGCCCAAGGGCCACAGAATGGAATAAGACATAGAATCTTGTCCCCTGCTTTAGGTGGCAAGGCATGGCATGCAGGCCTGAAGGCAGGAGACTAGACTCCTGTCCTTCAGCATCACTGATTGGATCAAAGAGAGACCTTGACCTTGAGCAAGTCACAGCCCCTCTTTTGTCCTCAGGACCTTGATGCTGACAGAGGTCTCTCTGAATGCTAATGTTTTTGATGCTCTTTGATAATATTTTCTTACTTCTAAAAAGAGCCAGCCTGCTCATCAGGAGGCTCTGCATGGCTCCTCAGGGACTGGCACAATGCCTGCTCCCCAGGTGGCAGCAGATAAGGGGACACATGTTTCAGGCAGTGAGTGGGGAAGGAGGTAATGCCTCCACCCCTTGGACATAGGCAAACCCCTGCACCCTCTCTTCCCCTACCCACCCCCCAACTGCCATTCTCTAAATTCTTCTGCCTGCCGAGTCTTTCCTCAATGATGTCTTAGCTAAGTTTTGCAGTGCTGCAAGTCCCAGGGTGCAGAGGGGTGCATGCAAGGCAATCCCCCAGTTCCCCATCCTTCTGGACCCCAGTGCAGGCTGCCAGGCCACTGTCAGTCCCACAGAATAGGATCGCTCTCAGGAAGAACAAAGGCCTGCCATGCAAAGGGGCTTAACCTTGTGCCACAGATTTTGGAGGGTGTGCCTGGGAAGGGGAATGGTAGAGGGAGGGGGAGTAACACAGAACAAGCAGACCAGAAGTAGCGAGTTACCAGGACCTGAAGGTGAGCCTGTGTGGAGTCTGCAGGTCAGCCACGCCCTTGGGCTCTGAGACTGGGCATCTGAGGCTGTTCTGCATTCAGAACTAACAACAGCAGTTCATGCCTGATGTGTGACTTTCCCAGCCTGCCCTGGCTGCCCTCCCAGGGTGTCCAGGAGGGCAGGCACTCACCACCCTGCTACCCTACTGGGCCTTTGGGGAAAGGGATGCCCTTAGCCTAGACTTGAGACACCCTCCCGGTCTCCTTCCACCCCTGAGGCTACAGATTTCAAGGCAGAGCTGTATCCCAGCTGTATGGAGAACCTCTGAGGCCCTATATATTGACAGTATCATTACCTACAAGGACTAATATTTGTGCGGTGCTTTGTGATTCACTTGTGTGGCCCCCATAGAAATGCATTTCAAGATCACAAAGATCAAGGTCGAGATCAAAGTAAATGTTTAACCCACACATTGTTGTCTTCTCCCCCTGACCACAGATCTACTCTAGGCTATTGGAGAGAACTGCCTAACACTGTCATTTGACCATGTCACTGTGAAAAAGCACTGATTCCCCACTGTCCTTGGGGTAATGAAAGACCTTTCATGATGCAGCTGTGCTCTCTCCCAGCCTCATCTCCCTGTGACATGTCACACTTGGGTCCCATACTGTCCTCTGAATGGGCAGAGCTCATTCCTCTAGTCCCAGACCCCCTAGCTTGGAATATCTTGACAGTCTGACAAACTCCTGTTCCTCCTTCAAAGACTCTATCTCCAGTCTATCTCCCCCATTTCCCATACCCACCTCTGCAATCTGCTATATTTTGTCCACAGCCCTGTGATTCTTCTTATGCATCTCTTTGTAGTGATTTATTTACATGTCTGTCTTCTGCCCAACTCAGAGTTCCACGACTGCGTCTGGCACCCCTTGAGGTCCATGGTTTCTAACACAGATTTCCAGTGCATGTTTGCTGAGTGACTGATTGTTAAATTGGCCACCATGAAGCCAATACCAGGCATCACTTAAAAGGAGCACATGTAGGGCTTGGGGCAAGAACCAGTCTAACTTCCCAGCTGCCATTAAAACAACAGCAGTAGACATTTATTGTATTAATCACCTACTGTGTGCCAGTCACATGCTACTCATTTCACAAACATCCTTTTAGTCCTTGGCAATAACGCTGTGAGAAAGAGGCAGTAGTGCTATTATCTGGGGAAGGGATTTTCCGGGGTTTCATGATTGCTCTCCAGTGGCAGTGCCAACATTGCAGTCAAGGCCTTGGGACTGCAAAGCCATTCTCCCACGAGAGGAGGCTGCCTCTTCAGCATCCTGCCCTCCTCTTCTCTGGGTTTAGCTGGTGGTCAGCCCCACCTATCACCCTCCCTTGGGACTTGGAGAGGGGCTAAAGCTACAGCCTCACTGTCCTCCTGCCCCTGGGTCCTACAGGGTCTAACCACAAGAAAGGACTGTCCCACACAGGAATGCCGCCATGCCATCTTATTGATCAACACCCTATCCTTGTCATCCTCAAGGTGGCTGACTTAATCAGCTCTGGATGTGGGAGGATTAGTAGGGAGATGGAGAGCTGTTACATCTGTGCCCCAGTTACCATGTGTGACTGGTCACTGGGGGAGCCCTCAGTACAGTACTGTGGCTCTGTCAGCTGGGTAAGAATCCCACGGGCTACTGAAGGTGGCCAGGATCCAGGTCCTCGTGCAGGTTCCCCCCATTCATTCCTCTCTTGCCCACCTCACCCCACCCCTTTCTGGTGTCACTGCAGAGTAGAAACATTAGAGGAAAAAAACAAGACATTTTGCAAGCTAATGTGGTATGTGTGTGTAATCATCCAAAGTGACTTGTGACATTAACTGCCTGATCTTACCAAAATGCAGAAAGGAATGACTAATGAAGTTTATTTGAAGAAGAAACTTGCAACAAGGAGATGACTTATTTAGCAGCAGTTAACACTGTGAAGATGTGAGTAAGCCCTCTTTGGACTCAGTTACACAGGAGACCTCTGGCCCTCTGCAGGCCATACTTTTCTAACTAATATTGACATATTCTTGGGACATAAGCAAAATCATAGGGTTCTAGACCATCCTCTTTCAACTCTCCCAGTAAAGAAATGGGCCCAGGGCTGGAGCTGCCCAGAGTTACACATGACTAGTGGTCAGAATGAGAACCTGGGTCCCTGGACCCCTGGGTTTATGGCTTAAAGATACCACCATGAGCCATTCTGTCCTAAAATTGAACAGAAGCAATCATTTTTTTCAAATTGAAGGACAAGTACCCAATGGATGGCATTTTCTCATAAGCTTTTCAATAATTTTTGCTCAGCCCACTAGATTCATTTTTAATATTATTGTATCTGGTAACTGAGCTTGGGTTATTTTTTTCCTGCTAAAATACTTTCCCAAAAACCTGTTTGAGTCATTCTGTTTTGTGAGGCACAGACTTGTCTACTTAAATATAGTCTCATTTCCTAATGCAAGTATGTTCCTTGTTCTGCTGGTAGAAGTAAAGTACCAGCATTTCATGACTTCTCTGACTCCTTACTCTCAGAGTCAGAGTTCTTGACTTCCAAGAACTTTGCTATCTGGTCTAGTCTAGAAATGGTGGTTTCTGATGGAAGGACCTTGATCCAAGTGCTTCCTTGTGTGTGTGAGCAGGGATGGGAGTTGCTCAGCTGTAAGGAAGCTCCGAGTGGGGAAAGAGAGTGTAAAATTCTCCAGGTCTGCAGGGGTTCCCTGAACTGTGTGTCCCTGGAGCTCAGTGGGGGATCCCAGAGCTCTGTGTGGGCAGGTATCCTTCTCGGCAGCCCAGGGCCTGGCACACAGTAGGTACTTCATGAGTGCTCACTGGTCAGCTTGGTGAATGGATGTCAGTCTTTGTTTCCTGGCAGTGGTTGAGCTAAAGCTATATTCCTCAGAGAGCAATGGGGAGCTGTGTGGGAAGATGGCAGCTGAGGCTTTGAGCCAGGGAATATTAAGGAGTTTAGTGTTGGTGTGTGTCTGTGTGTGTCCTGAGTGCAAGTCAGTGCTGGGGACAGCTTGGGGCACCAGGAGGGCAAAGGGTCCAGGGTGAGACAGGCTGGAAGGGGCAGCAGGCAGCAGAGGCATGAACCCACTGGGATGAAGGGATTCTGAGCTAGGAAAGCAATTCCCTCCTTTTAAGGGTCTGGGAACCAGAAAACTGGTGGTGGATGAAGGGTCTTATTGACATCTCTGACTGCTTACTCTAGGCTCATGGGAATGTGCTGGTTGGCTGGCCCCAGGCACATCTGTGAAAGCCATGGGGAGGGAGCCCACGTCTTCGGAGCCAGACTGCCTGGGTCCTAATTCCAGCTCTGCCATCTACTAAGCCGAGTAATCATGGGGAATTTGCTTGATCTTTGTGCCTCATTTCGTTCATTGGTGGAATGGGGGTAACAGTGACCTCCACTGTATGGAGCTGATACCTGAAAAGCACTGAGAACAAAGCCAGGCACAGGGTGTGTGTGTCTCCCGTCCTAAGGTGCCAGCTCGCCCACATCCCAGGGCTCAGCCTTGCCGTGGTGCTCATGGGTTTCCCTCCATCCACATCAGGTCTTGGCTAACAAGAGTCACCTCTGGGTTGAGGAGGACGTCTGGAGGATGGAGATCTACCTCTCTATGGGAGTACTGGCCCTCGGCACGCTGTCCCTGCTGGCCATCACCTCACTGCCGTCCATTGCAAACTCACTCAACTGGAGAGAGTTCGGCTTCGTTCAGGTAAAGTAGAGTTCGGCTTCGTTCAGGTAAAGTGGCTCTGCCTCTGCTAGTGAGCCTCAGTCGGGCCTTGGCTCTGCCCTTGTGTGCAAGCACCTCCCCCTCTGCATAGCAGCTCTGGCTTTCATAGTCTGTATGACAGGACCGCTCAATCAGATGCCAGAGACTTCTAGAGCCTAAGGGCTCGGCCAGATCTCCCAAATGGCTGCCTGGGGCAAGCTTGTCCTCATGACATCTGGGGAAGCCCAGGTATAGACACATGAAAAAATTGGACGACAGAAGCCCGACTTCCAGACTATGCATTGTTTCTACGTTCTTGAGCTTCCCAACCAGAATTCCATGACATGCAGTCACTGGGCATGTAGCTGGCCTAGCAGGGAGGGAATGAGCCTAGCCAACCACTCAGCACCCTCATCTCAACCCTGCCCTGTTGTTTCGTTAAGCCCTTGATTCATGCAGGGTGGATGGGAGGTGAGCTTTAGGATCACCAGTTTATAAGGGATAAAACACAGCGCTTCCCAAAAAACACCATTACTATGAAAAATCTAGAGAACAGGTCTCTAGTAAAATGAATTTGAGGAAAGATTTGCTTCCCCCTAGGAGATTCACAGTGTACCTTGGCATGTCAAAGACTCTAGTAATGTCTACAACAAGCAAGCCCTGATAACCTATTAGAACATTAGTGCCCTCCCACCCCCACCTTTTTCAGAAAACAACTATCTGCACTCCACAGAACACATTTGGGGGGATGCCACTTGTGGCAAAAGGTTCACTGCATTTATTCATTCAGTAAATGTGTATCCAGCACTTTCTGCATGCCAGGCATGGTGCTAGACCTGGGGTGCAATTGGGAGCAAGACAGACAGAGCCGTTTTGCTTATACAGGCAAGCAAGGCATCTCACACTATTCCCCGTGCAGAGTACATGGTCAACTCCTGAGTGCTGGCAGATTAACTCATCCCCTCTCATGGATGGGCGCTGACTAATACTGGTTCTGCCTTTGAAATTGTATTAGAGGAGAGAATAGCTATCGTATCCAGCCCCGCTGTCGACAGAAATCTGTCATGTATTTTCTCTGTGCCGTGAGGACACAGTGGAGGATTCAAAGAGGGACACTGACAGTGCAGTGCTCTTATGTAATCCAAATTAATTGTCCCTGATTGGAGATGCTCACATATCCTAGAACAAAACACTGTTGTGGTTGTTTTTTAAAAGCATGTCAGTTTCTGAATCTCACTGGCTCTGCTCATCTCAGAAGGTCTCTGGAGGAGTGCTTAGGGTTGACACATGCCAGCATAAGAGGGGGAAAAAGAATTTTATTTATCTGACACTAATCCTCATGTGTTGTACACTCAAATCTAGGATTTTCCTGTCCCTGCCTGGAGTATCCTGGGGTGCATGTTTTATCCACAAAAAAAACAGACTTCAGGTTGCTCCCCTCACCAGAAAGTTGCTCCCTTAAGCAGCTGTAGATTATAAGTCCCAGCTCTGGCTACCAGAGAAAGCCGGGGGATTTGATTTTGTTAGCAATAGCTGCCTGGGACCTCTCCAGCATGCTCTGCTTTACATACTGAAGAGTTGAAATACAAATATAGAAGTCCTTCTGCCCCTGCAAGAGCAGGGAAGTTGGAAAGTGAAGAGATGGATAGAAAGGCAGGGTTTTGCTCATGGAAATTAAATGTCTGCATTCTGTACACAAAAAAATAGGCCTGACATGGAGGAGGAACTGTCCGCACCTAGGAGTGGGCGTTCTAGCTCTACCTCCCCGCATCCTAGCTCTGTAACGATGGGCAGGTCACGTCTGCTCCCTGAGCCTCACTTTACACTCTTAAAAAATGGAGTTAATGCCCTACAGAAATGCTGTGATCCACTGTGAGGATGAGGTGTGAAAGAAAAATAAAGAGCATTTTGCTATTATTCCTGAGGCGTGTGACATTTCCATTATCTCTGACTAAGCTACCAACTGCCTGCTTCTGAGTTCAGTAGGAGGCAGCAAAGAAAGGCTGAGAGACTCCAACCCTGAGCCTCAGAATGTTCCAGGGCAGCATTTGCAAATTGTGGTTGACATTCACTGGTGGGTCATGTAATCAGTCTAGTGGGTCACAACCAGATTTTTAAAAATGAAATAGTATAATAGAATGTCAAAAAAAAAAGTCAGAGTGCTTTACATGTTCTAAGGACAGATATTTTTTCAGTTGTATTGATTCCATAGTTATCTTTACATATGTGGCGTACCTGGTTGTGTACTGTGCAGTAATGAAAAATGTGCCCAAAAGGTTGAAAGCCGCCACCCAGAAGGTCGAAGTCACCGAATTGTCTTGGAGAACTACAGATACCAGGCCCAGCCCTGACTTATACACAGAGATGCCCAGGGATGCGAGGGAAGTCTGTTTTGGCAAGCTCCTTGGGTGTTAGGCATGCATGATGCAATATGTGGCAACCTCTAAGGGGGGAGTGGGGGGACATGGTCTGTGGAGCCAGCAGACCTGGCATTCCATCCCAAGGCCACCACTTACCAGCCCTGCACCATTAGACAGTTTCTTAGGCTCCAAGAGGGTCTGTGTCCTCGCTTGTGTCTGTGTCTACCTCCTGTGATCATCAGGAGGATGTGCTCTGCGGACATACAGAATGCACAACACCTGCACCCAGTAGTGCTATATGATTTTTCATGTAAGCTTGCAACCTTTTCCTGTAAAGTTAGCACTGCCAGTGAGGCTCTCCCCAGACCTCACTTCCTTCCCTAGCCACAGGTGCCCACAGCAGGGCACTAAGGCTTAGAAACTGGCTGTGGGGACACTGTGGTTCTCAATGAACCTGGCATGACCCCTGAGTCTATAGTGACTTTAGCTAAAAGTCATCAAAACAGCATGTTAATCCCACAGAGGTGACTTGTGCTTATGTGTATCCTTTTGTTCCTGAGGCTGTTTTCAAAGGTTTTGATTTTGGTTCTTGTTATTGTTTTGGTTGGGTTTTGGCAGTGCTGACTGCTGCTAATTAAGCCAGTTAAGCATTGTTAGATTGCAAAATACAAGCCCTGTGCAGCTCACAGAGGACTTAGGTTTCTGCTCTTAGCAGCTCAGTTCTGCCCTAGAGTTAGAGGCACTTCCTGTGACTGCCTGAAATAATGACAGAGACCAGCTCTGAGCCCAGCTTTGTGAGCGACACTCAGAGCCCCTTCACAGCATTGTATTTGAGCACCAGCTGGAGCCCACAACCTGGCTATTTCTTTTCTGCTAACAAGATTACATGTAATAAAAATGGCCTTAGCTTGGAAGGGGATGGCGGTAGTGGTGGGGCTTAATTGCCTCATGACAATGTCCCCCTTTCTTTGACTTCCTTTGGCTGTAAAGTATTCCAAAGGGAAGCAAATTTTAGGGAAACAAACTTGCTGGAATCATCCAGGCTTCCCACTGGGTCTGGACTGCCAAAAGGACCATTGTTATTGGCTGGCCTTTGGCTGTGAGCACGCCCTGTGAACCATTAGCCTAAGGCTGGGGCTTCCTGCCATCTGTCACCATGGGATTCTGGATGGCAAAAGAACGAGGGGTGTACGATTGGGAGCAGCATCTCTATACTGTCCCACTGCATGTCCCAAATGCCCAACACAGTCCACTCTCCAAATTAGGGGCTGAGCATGGTGGCCCATATGAGTCAAACGCCAGAGTTCCAAGGCATGTCACCAAGGGAGATGGTGAGGCTTCACTGGGACCCCAGGGTTAGGTTACTAGCCCTGGGAGGCTTCTCACCACTGCAGGGTCTGGGAAAGGCCCGTGGTGCAGCATGGGCCCATCAAGGCCCTCAGTGGCCTTTATGAGAAGGACAGATAAGACCAGGTCCATCCCAATCAAACAGCCTGGGCAGAGGACCCATGAGGGTCTCTCAGCCTGAAGCCAGAAAGGCCTGGGTGACGACAGTCACCTAATTGAGTGGTTCTTACCCCTGCTGCACATTTTCATCATCCCCAAACTTCTCCAAGTTACCACCCTATAACAATTTAGTCTTCATGTCTGGAACTGGGGCTTGGGCATGAATACTTTTCTCAAGCTCCCCAGGTGATTTTACCATGCAGCCAAATTTGAAAACAACAGTCTCAGACTGATAAACTCTATGGGATAAAAGGCACTTCCCAGCCTTCTCAGCAAAGCCCAGGAAATCCACATGAGTTAGGGGAGCAACAGTTTGCGACTAGGCAGCTGGTGGGGGAACATCAGGGTGGTTGTCAGGCTCGTTCAAGATTTATCCCTGATGGTCAGTGTTGGGGACCTTTCCTCCCCTTCTTCAGTTTTTTTTTTGTGTGTGTGTGGTAAAACGACAACACAAAATTTGCCATCTTAGCCATTTTTGCAGTTTAGTGGCATTAAGTACATGCACATTGTTATGTGTCCATCACTACCAACCATCTTGAGAGTCTTCATCTTGTAAAACTGAAACTCTGTCCCCATTAAACAAGAATTCCCATTCCCCTGCCGCCTAGATTCTAGCAACTACCTTTCTATTTTCTATCTCTATGATTTTGACTACCTCATATAAGTAGAATCATATGGTATTTGTCTTTTTGTAACTGGTATTTCACCTAACATTATGTCCTAAAGATTTGTCCATGTTACAGCATGTGTCCCAATTTCCTTCCTTTTTAAAGCTGAATAATATTCCATTGTATAGAAATATCACATTTGCCTATCCATTCATCTGTTGGTGGACACTTGGTTGCTTCTATTTTTTAGCTATTATGAATACTGCTATTGAACATGGGTATGCAGATAATCTCCTTGAGACTGTGCTTTCAATTCTTTGGGGTATATACCAAAAGTGGGATTGCTAGATCATTTGACAGTTCTAGTTTTGATTTATTCCCACTAACAGCACACAAAGGTTCCAATATCTCCACATCTTCTCAACACTTGTTTTCTGTTTTTTTTTTAAAGTAGCCATGTGTAAAGCAGTGCCTCCTTGTGGTTTATTTGCATTTCCCTAATGATTGGTATTATTGAGCAACTCTTCATGGGCTTGTTGCCCATCTCTGGAGAAATTTCTATTCAACTCCATTGTCTATTTTGAATTGGTTTTTTGTTTTTGTTGAGTTTACAAGTTTTCTACATATTCTGGATGTTAATACCAAATACTTTCTCAGTGCTGGGATTTTTAACTGCAGTCTTCAATATCAGAACTCAGAAAATGTTGGTGTGGTTCAGAAGTTGCTAAGAGATTTGGAATTCTTGATAGGTAAGTGGCATGGATTTGCTTACATGTGACTCACAGTCAAGGAGGCTTCCATCTGGGAATTGACCATTTCACTATGATATATGAAGTAACAGTGGGTATTAGCACAGAGCCAGTAATGGCCTTTCCCATGAGCCAAGAAGTTGTTAAGGATGGGATAAAAAGATCCTTGAAGTGGTCACAAAGCCAATGAGAACCAGAGTTGGCCAGGAAGCATAGAAACTGGGGATTTTTTGGCAGCTAGTATTTTATTTGGGGTCAAATATATACCTGGAAACCTACCTATGAGCTTATAGTGCATAGCCATGAGAAAACATTTATAACTGTTTTTAGTAAAAGCTTTAGCAGCAATTCTTCTGAACCATGTTCTTCCACTTACTGAGGTTCACCCTCCTGGTGTTTGTTCTGGAGTGGGTCCAAGCAAAGTGTCCCCACACTAGGGAGGAGTGAGAACGAGGCACGGGAGGAAAGCAGACCCACTGAGAACTATGGCTGCGGGGAGCAAACAGGGCAGCACCTCTCAGCCGAGCCCCTGCATCAAGCTGATGAGCTGGCTGGCAGGAAAGCCAGGAGGTCCAGCCATAGCCTCTCTGTGGAAAGCTCAAAACCAACCTGTAAAGAGCACCCTGAGGTACCGTCATGCTGCCATTTCCCTTAAGCTGGTTCAGTGTCTCCTTGGAGAAAATGCGTATGTTTTCGCTTCTTGATGGGTCACTGCTGTTTTCATTCCTTATGTAACAAACACAGGGCTCTCCTGCCCCAAATCTCTCAGGTGCTCCTCAGTGCTTCCAGAATTCCATCAGAACTGCCCCGTGCCTCTCCTCCCTGCCCCCATCAAGCCCCAACCCCTAGGGCCCTCTGCTCTCCATCACTGTCTGCCTCCCTGCGGGCTGGGGGATGCTCATCTACACAGCGCCCCCACCACCACCACCACCACACCTCGGACTATAGCTTTTGAAATCACACACTTCTCACTGAGGCTGATGAAAGGCTTGCCCAGCATCACAGTATCAGTCAAGATTAGCTCCAGCAGCAGGGTCTGGAATGCCTCATTTGTAGCCTGCAAGAAACCTTACATGCAAAAGATTCCAGAGGTTGGAGTTAGAGCTCAGCACTTCTCAGCTATTTCTACAATCAAAGTTCCCAAAGAGAGTCACGTCTGTATTGCGTTTGGGGTGATAAAGTGCTGCTTTTGCCTGGAGGTGACCCACAGAAGCCTCCACATGGCTTAAGGCTCCCCTTAGGAGGCCTGACCATTTCCGCTTGGATTTGTGATGGTGTTGGCCTCCCCACAGTCACTCATCTCCATCCTAGCAGGAGAATGATCCTGGTAGCATTTCCAAGTGGGATATTGATCATAACTCAGTACATGGGCAGGAGGTGAGGGTGCCACACCCACAGAGAGCACCCATATGGTGCCATGGGCCTTGCTCACAGCATCAGGCCCCTGGAGCCACCTTTACTGTTGGTGCCAAAACCACATGCCAAGCTTTTTGGTTTGTGTTTATCTTTAAATCAAAGTCAGTTTACTTTTTTATCTGGCCTTTTCTTAGGCCATATATTACCTATGAAATCATGACTTTGGCAAACTGGCAGACATTTGTTACTCTCATATATGTTAAAATATATCATATATGTTAAAATATACATGAAAGCAGTCAGATGTTTTCAAACATCTTCAAACTTAATAACACAGTTTGGGAGAAAGCATTATTTTATTGAATGCTCATGAATTAATCCTTAATACACTCTGAGGACAGAAGCATTATTTCTTTTTTCTTGGGGAAACTGAGGCTCAGGGCATTTAGGTAGTAAAAAGATCATGCAGAGTGACAGGGCTGGGATTTGAACCCAGAGCCTTGACTACTAAAGTCAGCTTCCTTCCTTCCCATCTGCTAGGCAAGCAGCTGAGCCATGGGTGGAATCATGGTGTCCATCATCACCCAGGCCCTCACTCCAACCCTCTTTTCTTCTGCAGTCTACACTGGGCTTTGTGGCCCTGGTGCTGAGCACGCTGCACACACTCACCTATGGCTGGACCCGCGCCTTTGAGGAGAGCTGCTACAAGTTCTACCTGCCTCCCACCTTCACACTCACGCTGCTGGTGCCCTGTGTGGTCATCCTGGCCAAAGGCCTGTTTCTTCTGCCCTGCTTCAGCCGCAGACTCTCCAAGATCCGAAGGGGTTGGGAGAAGGATGGTGCCATCAAGTTCATGCTGCCAGTGGACCATGCCCTGGCCCAGAAGACTAGCCATGTGTGAGGTGCCAGCGCCTGGCCCAGGAAACCAAATACAGCAGGACAGTGCCCTGAGCCTGTCAAGGCTTCTTTTCTTGATCAAGCAGTATGGCATAATCATGCACAATTTGGTGGTTTGAGGCCTGAATTCCCAGAATGCAAATTTATGCAGTAATCAAAATGACACACACATGTGTGTGTAATATATGTTCATATATATTTCAGATATATCACAGGATTTGCAATTATACTTACTTAGCTAAAAAGTTGAGTCCCTGAAAGTCCAACTGGTAGATTGAAAAGCGAGTGCCAGATGTCAGATCTGCAGCTCATGTATTATTGTGACAGATACACACTTTTTGCACAGAAAAGGCAGTGAGAGGCTTGCTCCTCAGTGGATTCAATCCATGCCCCCACTTCCTTTTCACTACTTTTCAAGGCTTTTGCAGAGCTGGGGCTGTGTGGTGGCAGAGCACACGTGACCTCTGCCTGGAGCTGTTTATATGCACTGGGGTGAGGTGGTGGTGGTGAGGGGTTGCCAGTGAGCAGGGGTGCAGCTCCCCCTTTGTCACCTTTAGTGGAAGGAGGCCGGGCTGGAGCAAGGGTGCTGGTGGGGAACCTGGTGTCTGTGCCGTAGGAGCCAATCAAAGGTCCATCCTTTGCCAGCTGTGCAGGTAAGGAAGGGGGTTGGGCTGAAGCTGTTCCCCTAATCCTTCCTGAGCTGGGGAGATTTTCTTCTTGAAGGTCTGAAGCCACCACAGTGGGTGCAAATTGATCTTCCCACAGGAGTGTGAAGCTACCTTCAGGAGTGCAGAGCCACTAATGAACCCTGTCTTGAGAATAAGTGTAATTTATTTCCCTCCTTTGAGTTGGTGATGACCGTTCTTTAAACCACTGTGCCTTCTCACCTTTTAGATCATTAGTTTGAATGTCTCCCTGGAAGGCCTGGAGCAGACCCTCTTCAGTCAGTTCCAGAGAAAAGGAAAGGCAGAGAGAGAGGCTTGGCACCACAGCTCAGCCTTTCTCAGGAGGGGGACGTGCCCAGGGGGCTGTGGGCTGGTTGTCTTTATTGCTTTGGGCCTGTGGAAAAGCACTAGGGCCCTGTTCAAATGTCTCTGCTACCTCTGGGCAAAGAACCTGCCCTCCAAGCACCCAGCCCCACACTGCTCTGAGGAATAGGGAGAATGTGGGCAGCTGGACCCACCAAGGACCTCCAATATTTCAATATAGCTGGCAGCGTCTTTCCCACCAAAGTTGCAAACCTGAAATGCTGCTGCCCCAAAGCACAAGAGGCTGGACCTCAGCCAGGGCCACCAGACATGTGTGCTCAGGTCATAGGCCATCCCTCACTGATTCCTGCCCAGTTTTTATTTCTCCATGAAGAAAAAGCAGTTGTTGGCTGAGCCCACAACCCCTGGCAGAACCAGGATGATCTATCCTATCCACAGAAGAAACTTTGAAGCCAAAGGGGTGACTTCCCGAGGAATCAGGGAGATGCGCACTGGACTCCACTCTGAAGTGGGAATGTTGGTCACACTAATAGTCTTAGGTCTTCCAGGCCGGAGGGCATCTTAGGATGGACATAGTGTAGCCAGCAAAGGCTGACCAGACACTGCTGCCAGAGAATGATGCCCTTGCCTCCCCCCAGGGAGCCCTCAGGGGCTCATCTGTCTTGAAGGGTGTTAGGGTCCTTTAGTGAAAGGAAAAAAAAGAACAAATCAAGAGTATCTCATTAGGCCAGTGACTGATGGAGGGAAGGCAGTGCAGGCTACACGATCTTCCTGCCTGTGTTTCTGCCTGCTACTCCAATGGACCCTGATGGAGCAGCCGTGGTCCTCAGAGAGGCTCACTGAACAGGAGGCAGATAAGTAAAGAGGTCAGCATTTGCTTAACAGAATGAGGGCCCACAGATTTCCCGGGATAGGAACCAGGGAGAATATGGGCAACTGGGCCCCACCAAGGATCGTCAGGCCTTCTCAGCATGGGCTGCCTTCCTTCTCCTGCCTCACTGAGCCTGGGGATGATTCCTTATACCAAAGATGCTGACACAGATTAAAGTTCAGGATGCTCCTGCCCCTTCCTGCCCACCTCCTGCTGCAGGTGCTCCTCAGGAAGGGGACTGACCCCAGGATGTGGCGGCAGGAGGGAACAGAGTTGCTGACCACCCACCAGTTGGACAGTTAGCTCATGAAAGGCAGGGGGCTGTGCACTCGGCCTCAGCTTGGTGTTTGCTGCTGCTTTTGGCGACCTTTCCAGGTGGCTGGCAATGGTATCCCCATGAAAGCAAGCCACTCCCTTACAGCCTGGTAAATTCTGTGCCTCTGGGTACAAGAATGCCTGAACCAGTGTGCTCCAGAAACCCTACATGCCATGGTCTGAGGTTGACATTTAAAATCTGTGTCTTTGAAACAGTCTTTTGTGTTTACCTTGTAAAGCTTGTCTAAGAAACAGTGAAAATAAACACCTAAGCTCACCTGAACTGTAGGCTTTTATTTCTGCCATGTCCAGCACCTGCCAACTCTTTCATTCATTGGCTCAACAAGCCATCTGGTTGGAGCTTGTTCTCAGTTGGACATTTTGCAAGGTGCGCAAAGAATGATCTGAGCTAGAGCTCCCCTCTAAGGTAGGTCAGACATGGAGACCTACAGTGACAGGCCATTGAGGACATGGAAGACAGGCAAGTGACAAAGTGCAGAGATGTGAAAGGAGTACTCAAAGCCAGTGTGGGGTGGGGGCAGGGAGGCTTCCTGGAGGGCGCAGTGTCCACACTGGGTCTGAAAGCTATGGCCTTGAATGTATGCTGGAGCAGCAGTACTTTTCAAACTAATGTGCACAGGAGTGGCGTAGTGATCTTGTTCAAACAGCTTCTGATTCATGAGTCTGGGATGAGACCTGAGACTGCATTTCTAATAAGCTCTCAGTAACACAGATGGTATTGATCTTCAAACACTGTAAGTGACAAAGGCTTAGATGAATTCATCTCTTCTGTACTGTAATCTACAGCCCACACATGAATGCATCTCTGCCCCAGTAATTTCCCCAAGACTCTGGTTGGTTCCCTTGCTGCCCTGGCAGAATACACCACTGCACAGTGCTGCTACAGCCCTTATGTTCTCTAAAAGGCAGAGAGAGGAGACACACCACCAGACCACAGCCTTGCACTTTGTGTGCTCCATGTAGGGTGCCCCCAGGGGGGCCAGACATTGGCCCAGGTCCATCAACACCATAGAAACTCTCTCCAGAGAACACCCACCTATCCTGTAGTTAAGCTTTTCTGCTGAAGCAACCAGAATTATCTTATCACATAGGGAAGAAAAAAAGAAACCCATGTGCAGAAAGCAGTCCAGTGGTTAAAAAACATTTCTTAAAAATAATCAAAAGGTGTCCTTGAGCTCATGAAAATAGTTTTCCAAAGAAAGAACCACAGCCAGAAAACAACTTCACTACAAATAATTTTCAATAGGAAAAGAAAAATCTTGGGCTTGGAGATTTGATTTTCTACTCTGTGTCCTCCCACACACAACACTGGGAGAATTAGGTTTACAAAGAAGTGATAAAATAGATGAAAAATATCAGTTTTTCAGTAGTTCACATAAGAAATAAGGAGCAACCAAAAAAAACTCTCATTAGTTAAAGAGAAGAATTATCAGTCAGCTATTTGACAAGCTGAATCTTTTCCAAAAGCAATGAAGTGGGCCCTTGATGTGCAGAAGCTCACCCGTTCTGGGTCACTGCCCTGGTCACGTTACAAAGGGGAGCTTGGCAACACTAGAGCAGAAACTCTCAGTCCCACCAGAACAGCACTAACATTTCCTAACAACTAGGTTGAAAATCCCTTTAACTAACCTAAAATGAAATTCAGAAATAATATAATCTACCTATACATATACTTTTTTAAAATCAATATAAGGTCTTAGTTGAAATATAAAGTAGAACTAAGTATAAAGTAACTGGCAATAAAATATATATACTTAATACTAACAATGAATAGTAATTATTTTAAGTGATAATCTTAAATAAGTTGATTTTAAGAGACATACAGTGATATTCAGCTAAACACTGTTGACCTTCTTTATAACTGACATTTTAAAATAAGGGCTAAAGAAGTGTAAGTATGTGCATATATGCTGCATGTGTCTGAAATGAGGATGAATGCAATGGAAAACTCCTGTAAGGTGATGACCAATAAATGTCCATTGGATTTGGATATATGAAAAATTAAGAATTTCAGTGGAGTGTTGGAGGTAAAATCAAGATTAGGAATGAGTAAGAAGTAAGGAAATAGAGACTAATTATGGACAACTCTTTTGAGATTTGGCTGTGAAGAGAGGACTGGTAACTGGGGGATCGGGTAAGGGAGAGTTGGCCGATTTTTTCCAAGATTTTAAATATGTTTTAAATGTTTCTAGAAAAGAACAAGATAAACAGAAGTGGCTGAAGATGACAGAGACAGACAGGGAGAAAACTGGAATCAAAGTTCTAGAGGATATGGGAAGAAATTAGGTCCAGAGGAGGGGTATCTTGTCTTTTAAAATTTGGAAAAAAAGGTATCAATGAGGGGATGGTCTAGCCTGATGATGTAGTTGTGGACGTTCTCTGACAATATCTCTATCCTCTGTAAGAAGTAATCAATGCCACCTGCTGAGAGTGACAGGCAGGGATGAGGATTTGGCTCTCAGGGTTGAAGAGGGAAGAAAAGGTTAAAAATAATTGTTGGAGAAAGCACAATGGGAGCCGACCAGAGAACTGTGGTAGGGTTAACCAAATTGTTTATAATATTTTTGTCTAAGGTGAAACATATTAATAGTGTCTCCTGGGGAGTGTACAAAGTAGAGTTTTTGGTCAGTTAAGTTCTGTTCTCTCCCACCAGTCTCTGTAATAATTCCAGATAGTTTATCTTAGTTCACTTTGAACTCTAATAGTTACTAAAAATGTTCTGGCTTCATTTTTGTCTTCTCAATTCAGAAATGAACGGTCACAAATGGAACCTTTGATGCACTTAGCAACCAAAAAGCCTCCACTGCCAAACCTCCCATAATGTGAATAATCAACCATTTGTTTACTGAGTGTTGATTTCATCTATTGGACCAGAAACCTAGCTTATTTCTGTCATTTTCATCATACAGAGAGCCTACTCTTAAAAATAAAATTTAATCCAACAGTTCCTGGACAAAGGATACATTTTGTTAGTGCACTGCCAAACTCTCAGGAGGTAAAGGAAGTCACTGGCATAAAACAAATGGGAACACCATTGCATATACAAATAAATAGAACAATGTCGTCATTGGCTCCTGTCAGAAGCAAATTTAAGTCTTTGCTGGAGAAAGCAATTTCAGTTAAATCAAATAGGAGCTCTGTATCTAAGATCAACAAACTATAGGTGAGAATCAGCAAAAAGACAACCCCCAAGAACTTCAAAGAATAGAATTATCAAAATTAGAATTATGATCTAAATAATAATTAAAAACAGAGTCACAAAAATAAGTAAGCAATAAGTTGCTATGAAAGGACCATGCCTGATGAAAAATAGAAACTTTGGAAATGAAAAATTGTTAGAAACAAAACTAATTTGAAAGATTCAACGGCAGCTTGGAGAAAATGGGTGAATTCTAAAATAGAGCTGAAAAAATTACCTAGAATGGTAATAAATTCACATCATTTCTTATGTGAACTACTGAAAAATGGATAGAAAAGAGACAAATGGATAGAAAATATAAAAGAGAGGTTATAAGAATTAGGTTAAAATGAACTAACATACAAATAATTGAAGTTACAGAAAGAAAGAATGGTAGAAAGGCAAATCTTAAAAAGTAAGGCTGTGGATTTTCCAAAAGTAATGAAAGACTGGAATAAAAAAAAAGAGAACAATGTACAAAGTATATCACCAGGTAGGAAAGCACATTTTAAAAATGAAACCACACTTAGGCAAACTAAGAAGCTCTTGAAAGCAGCCAAAGAAAAATGAGAGTTAATTTACAATTGCAAAATTATAACAGGCTTCTTAACAAATCAGTAGAAATCTGAAATAATGATCTAATATCTTTAAAGTACAGAGTGGAAGTAATTGTCAACTTAGAATTGTAAACCTAGCAAAACATTTTTAAGAAAGAAGGAAAAATAAGAACATTTCATATATACAAATATTTAGAGTGTTTACCAATAGTTCTTATCTAAAGAAATTCTAAAAAAGTATACTTCAGATAGCAGGAAAATTATCCCAAAGGGAGATCCAAAAAACAAGAAGGAATGATGAGCAAAAAAATGGTAACCGTGAATGTAAATACAAACAAGCCTTATCTATTAATAATAATGTTATATTGTATGGGGTTTCTTTAAAGGACACACTAAAAGACTGGACAACAATGACATGTAAATTAAGTAAGGGATTGAGTTAAAATGTCCTGAGACCCTTGTTTTGGTGAAAGGGTCAAATTTAGACTAATTTGGATTTTGTTAACTAAGCCTGGAAAAATGGCAAGAGTAACCACTAAAAAGCTAAAAATACAATATCCAAATCTTTAGGAGGGAAAAAATGAAATAAGAAAGCAAACAAAAGTTTCATTCCTTGAAAAGAGAAAAATATCATAGAAAAGGCAAGACATAACAAAAGCAAAAAGTAGATGTTAGAAACAAATCCACATATATCAATAATCACAATAAAATGGGTTAAATTCTTCAGTTGAAAGATAGAGATTGCCAGATTAGATTTTTCAATATAGTTATATGCTATTTATAAGTGGCATACCTAAAGATTAAGGATAAAAGTATAGTAAAAGATGTGTTAGGCAAAAACAAACAAGTTTAGGTAACGAATATCATCACATAAAGTATATCACAAAGGACATTATTTAGGTTAAAGGAGTCACTATATAATAAGAAAAGAAAGATTTAAAAATTTTAGAACTGTATTCATTGAATAATATAACTTCAAAATACATGCATAAAAAATTAAAAGAAATATGAACAAATCCATCATCATACTGGAAGATTGCAACAAACAAAACATTTCTGTATATATGTGTGTGTATAATGACACAGCAAGCTTAATATCATAAGAAATAGGGAAATCATATTCTTCTCAAGAAAACAAACTTAAAACATTAGACCTGAGCAAATCTCAACAAATTTCAAAGAATAAATATACAGAATACATTCTTAAAATTGAGTAAAAAAATGTTAGAAAACAGTAACAAAAGGCTATCTTCTAAGTGTCCATAGATTTTGAAATTTAAAATATACATTTCCAAATAAATCATTAATCAAAGAGGAAATTATAATGAATTTTTTTAAAATCTAGAACTGGTAATTAATCTCCATGTCAAAAAATTAAAGGTGCAACAAAAATAGTCCTTAAAACGAAATCAGTAGTCTCAATAGGAACTAATGCACTTAGAGACTAATCCATAAAGTAAAAAGAAAAAGTATACTAAAAAAAAGAGCAGAAATTGGTGAAATAGGAAACAAAGATCAGTAGAAAGG